GAAATCAATCCCTAGGCTTTTTCATTTTGATAATTTGAATTGTTCAAATTCGTCTTAACAAATCACATTACATTAGTTTAAAACATCCATTCAATCATTCATCTAAATAAAGTAAAAATTACATAATTATAGTAATTAGTGAGAATTAGCCCCTGTTTGCCCCCATTATTTCGAATTATAATGGATGGAATAGTATTTTTGTTGGAGAATGAGTGGTTGAGTAAGAAGAAAAAGTTTTCGATTTATGTATAATATTATTTTATGGAAGATTGTGTGATTGAAAATAGGATAGAGAAAAATGAAATTTAATTTAAAGGGGGCCAAACGGGGGCTTAGATTACAATTCCTGTTGGTTCGACACTCTTATCTTTCATACTATATTACAAAACTTGACACTGTACACTCGCGGTATAAATCACGTTGTGGAAAACGCGTGGCAAGGACTCACAGTTTTTATCAATTTTTCAACCACACATTTCATCAACTTTTACCAAAATCTACTAAAAATCTAATTTTTATCAAAACCAAACTCTAGCAAAGTTTCTATTATATTGCTTCCAAATAATGTTATAGTCATTTTAGCTAAGCAGGTTCTACATGGACGAGAGAAAAGGAAATGAAAGATTATAAAATAAGGATCATTCTTGTTGTACATAAAAAATTGTACATAATGGTGTCCCCCAACTCACATGTGTGGGGCCCACTTGCATATTTATATTAAAGTGGGCCCCATCCATGTGAGTGGGGGACACCATTATGTACAATTTTTTATGTGCACATAGCACACTCCATAAAATAATTATAAAGGACATAAAAGCCAATATAAATCCCACTGTACAGTTCTGTTTAATTTGAGGGACCACCAAGCCACAAACTGGCCTCTCTTCATAAGGAAACTCTCTCAAAACCCTAACTTCAGATGCCAGTACCTAGAATTGAAGTAACCGTAACCTGAGAGAAAAAATAACCTAGTGAAGTCTGAACATTTTCACTAGCAACTAGTTGCTAGTCTTTTAATCAAATGATAGCCTCCTTGAATCACCTTCTACTCCATGTTTCCCCCATTATTCAGATACCTCATCAATTAAATTGGTAACTTCTAGGCATAGTGCCTAAAGGCTTGATCTACTTCCTAGGATTAATATAAGTTCTCCGACCATAAATAAGAGTAAATTATGCAAACCTTCCCTGAAGTTTCTAATAAACATAGAGATGCATCATCTAGTTTCAAAAATTAAGCTCCCTGAGGCTTTATTTAAACAACATTTTAAGGTTTTTTCCAGTTCAAAGAATAATTGTGGGGTGTCTATACTAACACTTGACAACTTATTTTCATTTTAAGGATTCCCCCACCCACATCCAATTCACATTCACATATTTGCTTTAATATCTTTGAAACATAGAGACTAAACTAAAGTATCTGACAAATCCCCTATTCGTTGGACATATGCTAAGCAAGGAAGGTAGAGAGAAGCCGCAAGGAGATAGGAAGCAAGCAAGGAAAGAGGAAGCAACATGCAAGGAAGAAGAGTAATATAAGGAAAAAGGAGAGCAGCAGCAGGCAAGGAGAGAGAGGAATCAGCAAAGAAAGAAGAGGGAAGAATAGATTGGGCACCGAATAAATAAAGGGGTTGGAAGAATCTGTAGAACCATTAAGAAAAGACTGGAGAGACTAAAGAGGAGAGAGTAGGCCTCTAGAAAGCCTACAATTCTATTTTATTGTTTCCCAATTTCAATTAAATACCCTTTGTAATCTATATCCTTATCAGTATGGTGCATTTACTTTTTAGTTCTAATTACATGCAGTTAGTACAGAACAAACAATATTATCTTCTCGTTGAGACTGCATCATTAAATCTTTGTTTCTCATTATTTTTCTTAAACAATTTAGCAAAGCAGGTTAACCACGAAGAAGAAAGTTTTCAGAAATGAAGAGTAAGACCATTGATAAGTGCAATTTGTGCACTTATTTAAGTTGTATTATTAAACTTTTATATCGTCAATTTATTAATTTCTATTTAACTTGGATTAATTTTATTTTGTTTTTAGTGTTGGACCCATTTGATGCAATTCGAAAGGATGAAGAACAAATTGGCTATTGGATGCAATATTGAAGATCAAATACAACATTTGGAAAAGTTGGACGTTGATTGCACAATGGAAGGAACTCAAGGACTACATTGCATTAACTTAAAAGTTGGATGACTTGAAGAAAATAAGTTATTAATTGGGCCTCCAATGGAATCAAATCTTAATAGAATTCAATAGGCTGGGAAGTTCAATTCTAATTGGACCTTCATAAAAGTAGTTCGGGCTGTTGGGTAGATTATATATATATATACACAGGGAGAGACTTGCACGAGAACTAGAGGAGAATTGGAGATTAAACCTATAGAGAAAAATGGCGGCAGGAGGAATTGAATATACTAACCCACATAGGGCAGCTGCTTGGAGGAAAGAGATACACATACAATTGCGGCTGTGGAAGATAAAAATACACACAGAAAACGGGGCTGCACATCTGGGAGAATATATACGCACAAAAACAGAGGAGGAGAGGAGCAGCTGCTGTTGGTGAAAAACAGAAAAAGGCTGCTAAATTTGAGGAGAATTAAGGCTCCTGTTGCTTAATTATATGAGATATACACACATTGGCAACTTGGGAAGCACATACATATACACAAGCACGAGCTGTAAAATTAAAGACAGTGGCTGGGGAGAGACACACACGCAATAAGAGAAAACGTGGCAGCTGAATTGGGGTGAAAATCAAGAGATAAACACGCAAACCGAAGGAATTTGGAAGAAACAACACGGCCACTGCATTCTCACTTCAGAAATTAATCACTTTCCGTCAAATTTCGGTGATGTCTTCCATTTTTATGTGTTTTAATTCCAACGTTAAGTTACGCTAATTTCTCTTATGTATTGGATGAAGATGAAACCTTCAGTTATTTATTTTTAATTCAAGACACATAGTTTAGTTAAATTTTTGCAATTCTTGATTAATCTTGAATGCTTAAATTTATTATTTGATTGATTGATCACCAATTAAATATATAGCTGCTTGTTGTAGTATTGGGGTGCTCATAATAGATTTAGAATACTGCTTGATTAACATGCGTGCAATAAATTTTAGGAATAAGATTTATCACGTGCGCAATCATTGGGATAATTGTGAAAATAAGTGCGTTTTACTCATTCGAATTCAGATTAGGAATAGATTCGGGTCGTGATCAGGATAGATTTAATTTGTCTTAGAAAAGAAAATTAATTACAATAGAATTATCGATTGTAAAGAATGCAATAATGGAGCTAGCTCGAGAATTGGGATAGATAATAATAGGTGAATTCGTAATACAATACACTTCCCGCGTACATGTTAAATTCAAGCTTTTTTAGATTAAGTTACATAAATTAAAAACCACCAATTTTCTTTTTCTTTTTTTTTTTTTTTTTTTTGCTTTGAATCTAATTAAAGACTAGTATACTAAATTAAATTTTATTTCTCGTGGAACAATACTCTCAACTCATCAAATCTATTATTTGTCAACGATTACGTACGCTTGCTGGTTTCGCACGAACAACCATCAAATCCATATAAATTGGGCAATGTTCAGGAGGGTTCTTTTTTTTACACCCCCCCCCCCCCCCCGAAAAAAAAAAAAAAAAAAAAAAAAAAAAAAAAGAAGTCATTTTCAACCACACAACCTCACATTCTCAAAAAAGTTCATTTTTCACTTGGAAAAATCTCTCCCAAACAAACACCTTAGTCTTTTATTCACCATTGCCATCCTTTATATTTTGCAAACAAAACCAAACAAAAACAAGAGTCTAGAAGCATTCCAAAGTGCTCAATGAACAATCATATGTTGTATTGAAGGCAAATAGTAAACTAATCAACCAGTATTGTGACTCAGCATTTAAACTTATGCCTTTACATATGTCGACACTCGTTGACAATGTATTCATGCCAATTTACACACGAATCATGCTACATGCATGCTACATGTACATCTAGCCATACATTAAGTTTTACATTCTTCCACATGGCACCATCATAGCCTTAGATTTCCCCCTACACCGTTTCACAATTACAATGTCATGGAAATTGTACACAAGAATGTACATCTAGCAAAATCCTTTACACAATTTATGGTACCAGTCTCAGTAAATATAGTAATTTGCAAATATCTAAACATTCAATCAACGGGAAAAAAAAATCACTTGTATAAAAATTTATAGTTTCATCAATATACGATCTTGTAAAATGAGCAGCATACCCAAAAGCAAATATAATCATTTACATATAAAACAGATCGCAGAAAAGAAAACAATAATACAAGTATCAATTTCTTCTGTTTTCCAACAAGAAAAAGTAAGAAAGCGGTGGGGTAGGGGTGGGGTTTGGGAGGGGAGCAAACAAAGGGGTTATTTCGAAGGTACCGAAAGTGAGGAAGACGGAGAAGAAGGGTAGAATCGAGCAAGGTGATCTTGCTGTTCTGTGTATCGGCGCCTGAGGTACTTTTCCAGGATTTCCATGACGCAAACAAACTTTTTCATCTCCTCGAGCTGGCGGCTAAGTTCGGCTTCCCTCGCCCTGGCTTGTTCGAGTCGCGCCTCTGTCTCGGCTAGCCGATCCCTCATATTCTCCACTGCCAACGCGTTCTCGTTGTCGAGGAGTCGGGTCCGAGCTTGGATTTCGGATATTTCATCTCTCGAGGGCAATCGACCGCCGCCGTAGCACATGCCGGCGTGTTTGTTTGTGTTGTACTTTGTTCTTCGCAAGTTGTACGTTAAGTTGCTAAAAGCCGTGTTTATCGGAGGCAACTGGTGGTGGGAAGAGCTTATAAATGTCTTAACCTGCTGCACCTTTATCACTTGAACATGTTTGGTTAAGTGAGGTTGCTTTTAAGTAAGTTTGGGCTCAAATATGTACATACAACTTACCCTTTTTCCTTTTTCTTTTTTTGAGTAATAAAAAGTATGTGTGTATATATATTTTTTTGGAAAAAAAAATTTTTTTTTTTTTTTTTTTTTTTTTTTTTTTTTTTTTTTTTTTTAGTTTAGAAGAGTAATATATAACTTACTACTAAAAATCGCTTTATATTGTAAAACTAGTCTATGTTACGTGCGATGCACGAGTTGTGCGTGAATTATGATTTGGTTAGTATATCTATTGAATATGTTTGAAAATATATTGGAATATAGAATTATTGGCAAGGAACTAACCAGTGAATAATTGAGATAATAGTATACATATTGATGTGTTTGATTGTGATTTGTAAATTTGTAAATTCATCGTAATTAATCATTTGTTTGTATTACAGTCAATGATAGATAAGAGAGAATAAAAATTAACTTTATTACCATCATTAATTACAGAGTATAGCCAAGATAAAAAAAATAATGACTAATTTTCGACATGGATGATGTAGGGATTACATATACATCATTTACCATTACTTTTTTTGTTTGGCAGTTTTTTATTAGGAAATTATACATACTTAACAAAATAGAATTTCAAGAACAAATTTACAATGAAGACAAATTTCACAAATCGAAATAGCAAAAAATTTACAAAACCACACAGCACTCTTGTCAAAAGGTTGATTTTACGGAAAATATTTCGACTACCATTTACTCTAGTTTTTTTTTTTTACCAAGTGGATTTGAGTCTGAACTTATGTTTTCATCACAAGCCATTTTTGAGTTGGAACTCTCATTGGAAGATTTGAAAATGGCTTTTTTCACTGGAGGTGACCAATCTTCTTGATAGTCCGTACTAACGTTTTTCCCAACATTTTGCCCAACTGTTGTAACCACAACCTGACTGTCAACGTTTGTTTGGATTTTTGGTTCAAGACTTGCATCATCAATATTTGCTTGAATTTCTTGTCTTGGACTTGGATGGTCAACGTCTGTTACAGAGATGATATCAAATCTGTAACTTGATGAATTATGTTCATTTGCGATGTTTTCAAGTAGAAAGCTCGGTCAATATCCTGCATTTTTTTAATGGTTGCTTTGAAATTTGTCTTTGAACCCTGTGTTAATTTTAAATTGTATTAATATTATTCTACTAAAATATGTATTGAATGGCAAAATGTTTGAGACAAGTTGGATTTCTTACAAATTTGGTTTCTTCCATCAAAGACTCTGAAGTTGTAAATAATAGTTTCTCAACTGGTTCACCAATTGCATTTACACTGATTGATCCCGTGACATCTGAAAGCTGCACATATGCTCTAACCCTAAAGTGAAAAAGAAATTAGTATTAATAGATGCAAGAGTAATAAAGAGAAGTAGAAAGGTGGAAAAAATGAAAAGTAATTAATCGTTAGTATATTTTACCGAGAAATAGCTTTGGAATTGGATTTTTGCAAAAAATATAAAGATATGTTTCTCCAAAATCAACATTCGACCGTCTAAAACAGTTGTTGCAGGCCATGTACCAAGATTTGTTATCAATTTTATCTGTTGTTGCTGTGCTGTTTACCCAATAAAACTTTCGCTGTTACAGTATGGATATATTTAGAGAAATTACAAGGAAAAATAAATAATATGATTGAGTGTATCTTGTAATATATATCTCTATATTAGGAAATAAATACAGATTGAATAGCATACGTAACCTTAATATTACCGCTAGAAGGCGTTCCTGAAGATTTTGAGTAGGAGTGAATTTACTTCATACAGGTGGAGAAAGATTTGTGGGGCTTTTGTCCATGTATGATTTTTTGAATACAAAATCATCTATTTTAATGGAATTTATTCTTACCCTAATCAAAAGACATGAAGATAATTACTAACTCCAATAGTAATGTGTGGAAAAATAATCGAGAGGGAGAAAAAAAAAGAATAATAAAATATAACACTTTTTACATACTATTCTGTCATTTGTTTTACTGCGTTGAAAGGCGTATTTATGAAAAAAGTAGAACGGACTTTCGTGGACAATTTTAAACCTATATAATAAATGATGTGATATATACCTTAAGAGAAGTTTAAATAATACAATAGAATATACCAAAGAATGATGTAACCTTTAGACGAGTTGCGAAGATGACGGACTTTTTGTCAATAATGTCTGCTATCAGTAAGCATTATCTGTCAACAAATGAATCCCAAAGTGTAAGCACCATTGTTTTGAAATTCATGTCTAGAAGTATGATATCTTGCAACCAAGTTTGGTTGCCATCTTTGGATTGAATCAATCGTTTAAGTGTCATATCAACTGCAACTGCAAGTATATCTGCAAATTTGAAATAAGCCATCATTTTTTTTTCACATAAGCAGTACGAATTTGAAGAAAACTATATTTCTGTATAATTAGTATATGATTATTTAATATCTATGAAATTTTATCTTACTTAAATCAGTATCTGTATCCATGTATTGTTCGAGTTCATGAAATTGTGTCAGTTGATATGTTGAGAATACAAACTCTAAATTATCTTCATTCAATTCTTCAATACGAGTTTCTCCAAATATTGTCCATTGTAGAGAGCAGTCGAATATCTGTAATTTGTCGTATTGTTCTTCATGTAAGCTTTCGAAATAGTATAAGTTTTTCCCAGAACAAGTTGATCCTCAAAAGCAGTGATATTGGAATCTTATAAACTTGCATGAATAGTATCACCCTGAAAAATGATGAGGAACCATATAAATAACTGTAATATACATGATCTTAGATTAAGAAAAAACAAAAAACAAAAAGAAATGAAGAAAGAATGTATGAAGAAGAGTTATCTGAGTATCCATTAACATCATATGTTGGTACCTTCCATTGCCTTGTCTCGAAAGCTTTGGTGATTGTTTTTCAACTACAATTACTTTAGCTTTCCACTTTTGATTGTTGGAAATAATTTCTGGTAGAAGTTGGTATTGTTCTTCCATGGTGGTAATTTCGTAACAGAATAATAGAGGCAAAATACACACAAAAGGAAGATTTCCATGGCAAACGATTTTGAGATATCCAATTGACAAATAAAAAAAGATATATATAGACATGTAAAATTATATCATATTTGGTTTCTCGTACTTTATCTTCTATTCTTAATTTTATTTTTTTATAAAAAGTAATACAAGTATGTACTAAGTAAAATCTTATTATTAGCCATATATACTGTCATAAGTTTTGTTTGCATGAGATATGAAGATTACTTGTAATATTCATTTATTGATAGTACATAAATAACGTGAGTTCAAGGATTTACACTTAGAGCATACATAAAACTATATTTTATTGGTTCTCCCTATTATAAATATAATAAAAGGACGTCAAAATTTTGATTAAAAAATGAAAAAGATCAAGATTTACACGGTAAAATCTTATCATACCCATACTCTATTGATTTATTTGGTTTAAAAAAGGAAAAAGATCAAGATTTACACGATAAAATCTTATGATGCTTATACTCCATTGATTTATAATGACTGAACATAGACATGGGCTGGCAAATGTTTAAACATGGTACAAGAATGACTCTAAATTAAATTAAGTTGTATTCATCGGGGAAAAAGTATTCATGCTACAAACCTTTATTGTAATGGAAGGAAATTTGATTCAATTATTTATTTAGCTTAAATAAATTGAATTATAATAAATATCTAAATACACGTGAATATGTTGATTTATGATTTTGTGTATGAAATTAAAGAATTCAAACAAAGACGTATATTTCAGATTCTATAAAAGGTGTGAATAGTTTGTATTTCATAACACAATAAAAACACTTCATTGATTGTTGACCAAATGCATAAAACAACAATAATAGACAGCTCATATGTGACAGCCTTTTATCTCGTGGTTGGTTTATGCTCATTTATTATACTTTTAGGCCCAAGAAATCTCTACATTTTTAATAGAAACTCCCCGCAGATTTAAACTGGAGAAGCTCTGAAATTGGCCGGAAAAGGTAACAATTTTACTTAAAAATTTACAATCGAAGAAACTTGCATATATCTGTGTATGGGCAATAATTTTACCCATAAGAACTCCGTGATTATGGAGACCCAAGCCTTAATGGGTCTCCATTATTACGGAGGCCACAACAAGGCCTTCGTATGATGGAGGCCTGCCTCCGTAATCACGGAGGCCTTGTTGAGGCCTCCCCGTGATTATAGAGGTCAAGACCTCCGTGATTATGGAGGCCAAGTCTTCATAATCACGGAGGCGAGACTAAGGCGAGGCATAATTTTGATGTCATGAATTGTCTGAATTATCTAGACACAAACATAAGATATTTTATTATCGATTTTAATATATTTATACATGTATAGGTTATGAAGATATAATGTTTATTTGGAACTCTTAAAAAATGTTTCTCTATTTTTAATTTTTAGATTCATTCATAAATAAGATGTGATTTTTGGAATAATTTATGCAGATGTCTCTAGAATACATAATTTCTCCGGATCAATGGTTTTCTACTACAATTGTCCAGTGTCCAAATTTCGAATATTTTAAAGACTTTGTACAATTTTTAGATTCGAATGAGCAATTTTCGTTGATGTGTAGTAATTTTTATGGATTTCTTTATGGAACTTTCTACAAAGGAAAAAAATGTACAATTTAGTAGTAGGTTGATGCATGAATTTATATTGAGGCTTGTGAATTGTGAGAAAAATGATGAAATTTGGGTAAGGTTAGACGATCGTGTAGCCAGATTTGGTATGCAAGAATTTTGTTTTATTATTGGATTACCTTGTCACGAACCATCCATGGACATTAATGATACAAATAATCGTCTTAGAAATCAATACTTTAATGGTACATATCGAATTAGTATGAAGATGCTTTATGAAGCATTCCATGCGTGCGGACATGAAGAAGATAAATTGAAACTTGATTTTGTCATGTTGATCGAATGTGTGTTGACACCCACTTCAAGACAAATTGATTATA